GGGTCCTACATCCTATCCCAGCTGTCATATCCTGTTTGGTGGAATAAGATAGTGCAGATCTGTGGTTTTGTGTTAACTTTTTTTGTCGAAGTAGGTGTGGGGTCAGTGCAAAAACAAAAAATCAAACTTGTTTCTGAAGTGTACTCTATTTTGATTCAGAACTACAGAACTAACCAGCAGGGCACCGTAAACACGCCATGCTTCCTTTCGTTTCATTTCATTTGATTGCTTCTCAAGTTGTAATTCAGGATCCAAAAGTTGCATGTACGTCTGGAGGTTGGGCAAAAGCAGAAGCCTAATCTGCTGATTAACAAAATTTGTCAGTGAATATTTCAATATTGCTCTGAAGTTTTGACCTAACTGAAGATTGAACAGGGCCTACCACACTGGGCCCCAATGCAGATATCCCTTGAACAGCACCATAATGTTGCGTCAATGCTTTATGAGGGTCAAGAAATGCATGGACCAGTGTCTTTGTTAACCGGATTTGGAGATTGTGGTACACATGACCATACCTACGCAAAAAATTCAAGTTAACTGAGAGCAACGGAAAATGCACCAATGTTAAATCTAGTAAAACTTTTGCCATATACGTGGCCTAGAGAAATCTGTGAACAATATAACAGTTGATTTAGTAAATACACAGAATGACTACAACCATAGCATATGTAGCAGGATCATGCATTAAGAAAGTGGTTTTAACTTTTGATATTTAAGTGGTAAATTAACTGACAGCAAGCGTTCATGTCTCTTTGAAGATAACACAAACTTAAGATGGCCCCAAGAAGAAATAAAAAAAGATTTAATGGAGGAATGGCAGGGAATGGAGGTAGAACCTCTACTGATTTACCACCAAGCTGCGCTCATACTTAACTTAGCACAGAATACTACATCATACTTTAAAGAAGTTGCATATACATTCCAAATAATCTTGAGAATCTCAGGATACACTGACCTCCGACATACTGAAGCAACCAAATTGGCAGAGAAGTCTCTAAGCTCCCAATGGTTGTCTGAAAGCCTGTGCCCAAGCCTTTTCGCGACGATGCAAGTGATCATTGATGGCATCAACTGATGCAACTGGCAATAAACAAGTGTTGCCCTTTTAGAAGTAATATGCTGAAAACAGAACTATCCAATGCTTTAACGAAACAACTAGCAGGCAAAGTATCAACACTTGATGGTCAACCACTTACATATGGTTCAATATGAATGTGAGGATTACGGAGAAGGCTTTGGACAACACGCATGAGAGCAAATAGAACAGGGAGGTCGGCCAAACTCCTGGTAACCTGAAATTTATGCAGATGTGCAGTTTAAGGTAATGCCCAGTTCTGCCACGTAGCTACGGAAGTAAGATTACTACCTCATCTGCAATGAAGTACGAAAAGTAAGGAACCAACGGATGAAGGCCTGAGTCTTTAGACAGGCTCACTAATGCTTCTCTAAAAACTGGGGTGCTTGATCTACTCATAGTAAGCTCTGCTATTTTATCAAAGTACATCTGCAAAGTCAACAAGTAAAGAGGAATATAAATTTCTCATAAAGATCCAAATTAAAAGATAGTTATATACTTGTATACATTTCATAATCATAATACCTGGAGTTCTCTAGATAATATATGCTTAACAGGAAGCTTGATGTCAACTGGTAGTCCATCATCCTTCGCATGCTCTGTCCTTTTATTTTCAGTTGGTGCTGAAATTGCTGGCGCAAAATACTGGTGTCAGAGAAAACAATAGTGTAGAGTAAAAAGTTAAACAATACGACCATGGATATAAACAAACAAACTATGGTACACTAATTCCTAGCAATAGTTCATTGATTTAATGAAGCATGGACCTATGGACTGTTGATACACACCACAGGGGGAAATTCATTTTCACCCGTCTAACTCATCCCTTGAACTCTAAACCGAACACAACACATCCTCAACTGCGAAAACCGAGCAAATTACCCCATAGAAAATTCCAGTCTGGTTTTGCGCTGACATGGCAACTACTGTAGGTGGTTTCAACACACAATTTTGTGCGACCCACATTCATATAAGATGGCTTCCCCTCTCTCCCCGCTTCCCTCCTAGACTGCCCTCAAAGCACAGCACCTGGGCTCCTCCGCGCCCAATGCCAGCAGAGGCGAAGTGCTCTCTTTAAACCTGCTCAATAAAAGCCTAGATGCAGCAGCACCAACCACTTGCCCTCCTCACTGGTGGCGCTAGCTCTGGTGTCGCTCCAACCTCCAGAACAATGATCACCGCAATGGTCCGCATGAATGGGGGGATGACGATAAAGGGTCTCCCATATGAATGGGGGAATGGAGAGGGAGAGAGGTGGAGTTGAAACTTGGAAAATTTTGATTTGCTGATTCTGGGGAGATTATTTGTTGATCTGATGGCGTCTGGTTTTTAAGTCGAGGGGTTAAGTTAGGCTGGCAATAATTGAGGGGTGCAAAATGGATTTTTCCACTTCATAGCTGATCTATCTCTCATCCTCTCTGGAAATTTTGAAAAGAAAAAAATACATTGCATGGGAGATAACAATATTACTAAAACCCGTGGAGATGCTAAAATAAGAAGTAAGATTTAGACATTTTTATGAATAGTATGGGAGCTAACCATCGATAGGAGGATTCTCTGGAATAGCAGGTTGGACGCCCTCAATCGCTAGCCAGTGAACAACAACTGCTGTGTCGAGTGGAGCTTTCGGTAGAGGAGCTTCGATAATCTGCATGACACCAACACAGCAGACACATTTCCAATTGAGTATCACAAGTCTAAACTTATTTGATTCATTCATCAATATAATGCTTACCTCTTTGAAGTCTACCTCCCTGTCATCAATATAGAAGAGATCTTTATGGCCCACAGCTCTCTTAAACCGCAAGGGGTCACCAGATGCAAATCCATATACAGGCTGAGTGAAGATCCAAAGCAATAGAACACATGGCGTCAGCTAGGCCGGTAGAGAACATCTAAACTTCTTATGTGTTCTTGCATCAGCTAGACTGCTAAAAAATACTGACCAAGATTCCAGAAAGAAATCCAAGGAAAATGTACCAAGATCACTTAGCTATCCAAAATCACACATTCAAGGCATACAAATGCACTATATCTAGTTATCCACAAAACTCTGGATTCATATCACCCAAAGTTTTTATTGTTGGAAGGGAAGGCACCTCAACATTCCTCAGGCTCAGAGCACTGTCAACATCATCGGCAGTCAGAACTGTCCTCTTTGCATGCCGCATACACTTGATGGCCTCCTGGAACAATGCACAGAAAACTGAATTTAATATAAGACAATACCAAGGAGCAAATGAACATGTGAGCTACAATAGGGCAAGAATAGCATATGTTTTCAGGATTTCATAAGAACTTCTCAAGTGATGAAATTAGCAGTAGTGGAGATGAAGAGAACTATATATAATCATACATAACTAAACAGCTGGTTCCCCAGTTGCGCAATTTTTCAGACTCCTCACTCAGCCTGCCATGTGACCAAATATATACCCATGGTTCATTTTTTATCAGCTCTCATTAACAACCATTGGATTTGGTGGCACACTACAGCCAGCTTATCTCCAACCGTTCTATCCTACACTTCCAATCTCCATGCGTCCTCCTGCCTAATCTGTTCTTCCAACTTCCTCATCCCACCTCCACCCTTGCCAACCATCACGACTTCACAAGCCTTGCCACCATTTCTGGCGGACATGAAGCTGCCATTGCCGCTTCCTCACCCAAATCCAGCACCACCACTCCTCTGATGCCTCCAAGGAGATGACTTTTTTTATAGTCTCCAAGGAGATGACGTGCGCCCAAATGTGCATCCAATATGTTACAGCTTGCTACATTAGCTGATTGCTCTCTTTATTTTCATCCAATATGTCCTTGAAGCATTGCTATAACAAGGCACAAATTATTGAGCTAAGGATTTACGTGGGCCTGCCTTGTACTTCCATGATACTCCCTCCGTCCGAAAATACTTGTCATCAAAATGGATAAAAAGGGTTGTATCTAGAACTAAAATACGTCTAGATACATCTCCTTTTATCCATTTTGATGACAAGTATTTCCGGACGGAGGGAGTATTTTCTTACTTTAGGTTCGCAGATTGTTAATGGTGTTTTATGCTCATGGATAAAGATGTCGTCATCTCTGGACTGAGGTCAAAATATTCAGAAAGTGGTGTACTGTGGATGCCTCGACGCATCCATGAGTTGACCATCATCATGTTGAACTTCCAAGAGAATGCTGACTATATAGGCACTATTCATCAAGTCTGATCTTTGTTTGCTGTGGTTAGTGCTTATACGGAAATGTGCATAATATTTTCAGGTGTGTCATCAAACGTCAATTGCCATCAGATTTGACAGATTGCCACATGAAAATGTCAGGTCTCAATACTGTTTTGTTTTATCTTGGAATTCGATTTCCTATCAAGGCTGCTACATAATCACTGGTCACTATTCAAATTCAACTATTGCATATGAACATGAGCAACAATAGGTTTACAGGTGGTTCGGAATTAGCGGGAGGGGAATGGGCGGACCTGCATGATCTCCCGGAGGCGGTACTCGACGTCGGGGGCGAGGGCGGCGGAGACATCGGCGGGGAGGGAGGGGATGCCGATGCTCTGGGCAATCACCTCGATCGTCTCCTTGGGGACGATGCTCATCGCGCCTCCTCCTCCTCGCTCCCCGTAAACCCTAGCCCCGCTCGGATCCCGCGGGGGCAAGACCCAGGCGGAGGGGGGAGTCGCCGGCCGGTAGCCGGAGGCGGGAGAGTGGGTGTGCCGGGATCTGCGGCGGGGCGCTGGCCCGGGGCTCGTCGGCGACGGCGACGACGGCGGCGGCGGCGGTGGCGCCTGGCTAGGTCGCGAGCGGGGAGAGGACGAGCGAGTCGGGTCGGGAGGGGAGGAGGGTTAAGCCCTGACTGCTGACTGTGCTTGGTGACATGGAGAGAGTGGTGACTTGGCGCTGATGAGTTGGCATCCACGCGGGCAAAACTGGGTTCAATTTTTTTTCTTTTTAGCCTCGGGCATGTTGAGCAACGGACCTCGAGCTTGGCGATTAGGGCATCTCCAGCCGTTGGCCCCCCAGGGGCGTCTAAAAGCGCCGCCTCGGGGTGAGCCGGCGCAAAAAATGGCCCTGGGGGCGAGTCGGTCCCCAGCCGTCGGCCCCAGGCGCGTATTAAAATAAAAAAAGAAGGATCGTTCGACGAAGTTATGATAAAAACTAGTTAAATTTCGGCCAAACATGGCAAATTTCGGTGAAATTCGCGCATTTTCATTACATTAACCTAATCTAAAAAAGAAAGGTGCTGAAGTCGTCGCCGCCATCGTCGTCGTCGGCCTTCTCCTCCTTGACGCGGGCGCCCCTGCTGGACCCTTGCCCGGCGTCGCCATGGCGGACTGGCGGCGGCGCGTCGTCGTCGTCGTCGCTGTCGCATAAGACGACGACCCCGTCTTCATCGCGGCCGCGTCGGCGCTCCTCGAAGCGGCGCGGGGTGGCGCGCTGGCGCTCCTTCTCCTTCTCCCGGGCGCGCCTTCTCCATCGCAATGGAGTCCTGGCGCGCCCATTCTAGGGTCGCGTTGTCGTCGTCAAACTCCGCCTTCACCGGCGCCAGCCCCGGCTCCATCTTTGGCTTGACGAAGCGCGGAGAAGACGACAAGGAGGAGGCGCGCCGGCCGCCCTCGTTGATGACGATGCCGACGCTGCGAGTGCACCGACCGATTGGCGTCTCCGCCGCGGGCTCGGCCTTGACGCCGAGAAGCGCCGGAGAACCGGAGGAGTGGGAAGATGAGCGAGAGGAGGAAGACGAGGAGGAGGCAAACCTCCTTGACGCCCATGCGCGTCGGTGTTGCGACGGGGCGGCCCCCGTCGCAGGATAGGTCAACGGCGGGTTGTTGCCGCCGTCGAGGTACGCCAGCACGCCATCCAGCGTGCGGCCGGGGACGCCCCACCACAGGCGGCGCCCCTCGCTGTTCTTCACGCCGCCGAGCCCCGGCGCACCGTTGGTGGAGGCCAGGCGCTGCTGCTGGCGACACTGGAAGTACGTCGCCCAAGCCGCGTGATTGCCGGCAGCGTACTGGGGGAGGGAGCGCTCGTCGTCGGTCAGGGAGGCACGTGCGACCTCGACCTCCTCGGTGAAGTACCTGGGCTTCGCCACGGCGTCGGGTAACGGGGGAACGGGCACTCCCCCGTCGCTGAGCCGCCACCCCGTCGGCCCGGCGCGCATGTCTGGCGGCGCCGGGATGTTCGCCTGGAACAGGAGCCAGGACTCCTGTTCACGGAGCGAACGGCGGCCGAAGCCGTTCGCCGCCGCCTCGTCTCCGGGGAAGCGCTCTGCCATGGCGACGGGCTCGGCGGTGGTAGAGAGGGAGAGAGAGGGGCTGCCGATGGCGCTCGGGAGAGGAAGACGGAGACGGAGAGAGAGGGGCTGGGCGGCGGCGAGGGGCGAGTCTGGTGTGGGCACAGGCGACCGCCGGCTTTTATAGCCGCTCCGCGCCCGTGTGTACGCGTGCGAGGGAGGGGAGCCGTCGGCGCGCCGTCCCGTGACGCACCGCCCGTGAGGAATCAATGGCAAGGCTGACTGGCGGTAGCCTTGCCATTGATTTCCCACGGGAACCGAGGTAGTTGAAGGAAGACGAGCCGTTGTGTCCCTGACGTGGCTGGCCCGCGGCTTTTTCGCGCCAAAACAGTTCGCCCCAGCGCCCCCGGGCGCCCCCAGCGCGCCGGGTTTGGCTTGGGTCCGCCGGCGCTGTTTTCGGCCCAGGCCGGCGAAAATCGGGCTTCTAGGGGCGCGACTGGGCCGTTTTTTTGGCGCCGGCGCAAAAAAATGCCTGGGGAGCCCTTCCTGGGGGCGCGGCTGGAGATGCCCCACTCTATAATCGTAAATCAAAGTTCCACCATGCGTTTGACAACTAGCTCCACTTCGTCGAGGCCTCACCCACGGCCTAGGGCGGCCATGGGTGTGCATGGTGACATGAACAAGGGAAATGTGGTCGGAGATGCTCGTCTTTCATTGTCCAAGCTCTAGCGTGCAGCACCAACGCCTAATACATGTATCTTGCTAGATCTTCTATTGTGAGGGAAGCGTTGCCGAAGACCATGGGACAAACGTGGCTGGTGGTGGGGTGAGGCAGGAACGGGGAGGCGTTGGAGATGGGCCATGTGTGATGATAGTGTGAGGCAAAACCCTAGTGGTTTGGTCACCGCATATTGCGCAATGGGATGACTTTGAAGGTCTACGCGCTTACAAGCATATATACCGCTTTCCACTTGGAGGCATGTGTCGGGAAACATGGTACAAAAAGAAACACCGCACTAACATACTGATACATCTCCATCGTATCTACTTTTCCAAACATTTTTGACCTTGTTCTGGACTCTAACTTGTATGATTTGAATGAACCTAATCTGGACTGAAGCCGTTTTCAGCAGAATTGTCATGATGTTATTTTTGTGCAGAAATAAAAGTTCTCGGAATGGCCTGAAAATCAACGGAGACATGTTTTGGAATAAAAAAATACTGGCGAAAGTGTCAACACCAGGGGGCACACCCTGTCCACGAGGGTGCAGGGCACCCCCCCCCTCCAGGCGCGCCCCCTGAGGCTCCACCGACGTCAACCCCAACTCTATATATTCACGTTCGGGGAGAAAAAAATTAGAGAGAATGATTCATCGCGTTTTACGATATGGAGCCGCCGCCAAGCCCTAATCTCTCTCGGTATGGCTGATCTAGAGTCCGTTCGGGGCTCCGGAGAGGGGAATCCGTCGTCATTGTCATCATCAATCATCATCCATCACCAATTTCATGATGCTCACCGCCGTGCGTGAGTAATTCGATCACAGGCTTGCTGGACGGTGATGGGTTGGATGAGATTTATCATGTAATCGAGTTAGTTTTGTTAGGGTTTGATCCCTAGTATCCATTATGTTCTGAGATTGATATTGCTATGACTTTGTTATGCTTAATGCTTGTCACTAGAGCCCGAGTGTCATGATTTCAGATCTGAAACTATTATGTTTTTATGAATATATGTGGGTTCTTGATCCTATTTTGCAAGTCAATAGTCACCTACTATGTGTTATGATCCGGTAACCCCGAAGTGACAATAATCGGGACCACTCCCGGTGATGACTATAGTTTGAGAAGTTCGTGTATTCACTAAGTGTTAATGCTTTGTTCCGGTACTCTATTAAAAGGAGGCAAAATATCCCTTAGTTTCCAATAGGACCCCGCTGTCACGGGAGGGTAGGACAAAAGATGTCATGCAAGTTTTTTTCCATAAGTATGTATGACTATATTTGGAATACATGCCTACATTACATTGATGAACTGGAGCTAGTGATACGTCTCCAACGTATCTATAATTTTTGATTGCTCTATGCTATTATATATTCTGTTTTGGATGTTTATTGGGCTTATTTATGCACTTTTATATTATTTTTGGGACTAACCTATTAACCGGAGGCCCAGCCCAAATTGCTATTTTTTTGCCTATTTCAGTGTTTCGCGAAAAAAGAATATCAAACGGAGTCCAAACAGAATGAAACCTTCGGGAGCGTGATTTTTGGAACAAACGTGGTCCAAAGGACTTGGAGTGGATGTCAAGAAACAATCGAGGAGGCCACGAGGCAGGGGGCGCGCCTACCCCCCTGGGCGGGCTCTCCACCCTCGTGGGACCCTCGTTGCTCCACCGACCTACTTCTTCCTCCTATATATACCTACGTACCCCGAAAACATCCAGAAGCACCACGAAAACCTAACTCCACCGCCGCAACCTTCTGTACCCAAGAGATCCCATCTTGGGGCCTTTTCCGGAGCTTCGCCGAAGGGGGCAACGATCACGGAGGGCCTCTACATCAACTCCATGGCCTCTCCGGTGATGTGTGAGTAGTTTACCTTAGACCTTCGGGTCCATAGTTATTAGCTAGATGGCTTCTTCTCTCTCTTTGGATCTCAATAGAAAGTTCTCCTCGATCTTCTTGGAGATCTATTCGATGTAACTCTTTTTGCGGTGTGTTTGTCGAGATCCTATGAATTGTGGGTTTTTGATCAAGATTATCTATGAACAATATTTGAATCTTCTCTGAATTCTTTTATGTATGATTGGTTTATCTTTGCAAGTCTCTTCGAATTATCAGTTTGGTTTGGCCTCCTAGATTGATCTTTCTTGCAATAGGAGAAGTGCTTAGCTTTGGGTTCAATCTTGCGGTGCTCGATCCCAGTGACAGAAAGGGAAACGGCACGTATTGTATTGTTGCCATCAAGGATAAAAAGACGGGGTTTATATCATATTGCATGAGTTTATCCCTCTACATCATGTCATCTTGCTTAAGGCGTTACTCTGTTCTTATGAACTTAATACTCTAGATGCATGTTGGATAGCGGTCGATGTGTGGAGTAATAGTAGTAGATGCGGGCAGGAGTCGGTCTACTTGTCATGGACGTGATGCCTATATACATGATCATACCTAGATATTCTCATAATTATTCACTTTTCTATCAATTGCTCGACAATAATTTGTTCACCCACCGTAATACTTATGCTATCTTGAGAGAAGCCACTAGTGAAACCTATGGCCCCCGGGTCTATTCTTCATCATACAAGTTTCCAATCTATTTTATTTTGCAATCATTACTTTCAATCTATATCATAAAAATAGCAAA